AGCTCCCGCGAGTACTGGAGATAGTACTGGAGAATGGAATCCTCCCCCGCTAATCGACCAAAACGAAAACGAGTGGTAGCTTTGGGACAAGAGCTGGGGGTCCTTAAGAAACGGACCACTACCAACATGAGCTGCGTGAAATAAAAGGGGGAGAGGGCCAAGCCAAAAGGGAGCGCTCGGCAAGCAAAGGTCTCCCCACCCATGCGAAATTGAAGAAAATGCTCTTGATCCGCTCTCATCCGAATATGATGATAAGCGTTTTTGATGTCGAATCCCACCAAGTAATCATGCTTCTTCAGCAGAAATCCAAAATCGCGCAGTTTTTCATAACGAAGATCAACCTTCTTGAGATGGCGATTGATTCGCCGAAGATCGATGATGAGCCGGTATTTGGTCTTGCCATTCTCCGCCGGCTTGGCCACCAAGAAAGCGCGCGAAATCCGGGCGTCGGAAGAGGGGTTGGTCCGGACGATCGCCCCCGTCTCGAGGTACTCGTCCCGCAGTTCCCGCCATGCTCGCCATTCCTCCGGGGTCGTCAAGGGGTATTCGCCCTGATCGAAGGGGGCCGGAGGGCCCATCGGGCCCCATTGAAGGGGGGCTCCGGTGTGGATCCATTGCAAGACTCGCGAAGGCGCCCTGATGCGGCGCCACCCGGAGAGACGGCCCCGAAGACGAGCGTACGGAGGGTCCTCTAGGCGGCGGGTTTGGGGGGCTGGGCCGGAGCGTTGGGGCCCACCTGCGGCTTGGAACTCTTGCCCTTGAAGTGGCGAGCGTTGGAGGTGGGCGCGCCCGCAGGATTGGGAGCCGGAGCGGCGCGATCGAGGTTGGCTTGGTTCTTGGCGGCAGCCGACTTGGTCGCCAACTTCAACTGCTGATTGAGGACCTCCTTGCGTATGTGCTCCAGCGGCTCGTCGATCAAAGGATCCCAGAAGCGGCGATGAACGGCGCCCAGCCGAACGTTGGTCTGGAGCGCGCGCCACAACCCGTCGAGGGACGTCCCCTTGTGCTCCCCGTGCACTTGTTGGAGACGGATTAGGCTCTGCAATCTTGTCGTAATCGTCACCTGGGCGTGGAGGTACGGCAAGAGGGCGTCCCGAAAGATGGGCGGGAATTCCTGGTGCGCCGCGAAGTCGATCAAGGCGGCCGTGAGGTCGAAGAGCCACGCGACGTAGGGCGCCCAGTTCTGGTACTCCTGGAAGTAGCCGGAGTTGGTCCCCAGCGCCTGCGCGAGCTGGGCGCCTTCGGAAGTCCGCCTCACGCCGAACCACTCGGGAAAACGGACCCCCGGAGGTCGGACCACCGGGTTGGTGACTGACCGCGGAAGGAGACGGGGGTCCGGTAGCCAGACGGTGTCGAGAGAAGCCGTAGGCGGACCGTCGTTGAACCGGACGGCTTGGTCTTGAAGCCACTGCTCCGCAGGTGTCCGGTTCATAGAAAGAACGCGGCCAAGACGGCCGGGGAGGGCAAGGCACTCGGTGCCTTCGGGTTGTGCCAACAAGTGGCGCGAAGCGAAACAAGATAGGAGGGGGACCGAGGGGAGAGCCTAAATAGCCGCCCCCGCTCAGCCCCGCCAAAGCCCGCCAAGTCCAAGCCGCCAAAACGGGCGGACCCTTGGACACTCCGTACTTTGACTGACCCAAGGTACTAGAAGGGCCAGAAACCCGTTTGAATACGATTGCGCCTGATTCGAAACTCGGCGCAACCCACCCAACGTCGTCCTGGGTGGAAATCTATTAACAGGATAGTTAATGTCATTTATCAATTTTCTGCACACTAAGAACTAAAGAATGACCCAAACCCGTACACGTTTGAACACGTGTTGTTTGGCCCTTTTCTTCCTATTGGTCGCTTCGTATGGTTTCAACAAATGGGACCAACTGCTCAACTTTTCGCCTTCGCATCCTTTAGCATCATCTTGGTGTATCTTAGAGTTTATGCAATCGCGTTCGGAAAATTTGAATGCGGGATCATGCCCCATATCTCATTGTCGCTGAGTCGTCACTGTAAGATACTGAAGTGCACGAAATCAAAAGGATTACAGAACAATTTTGCAATATCCCCATCCATACCAGTTGCTGACCGCATTCGACATTTAACAATGGCGCTGGCATTGGCCTTGTTTTCAGAGCATTGCATGCGCACCAATGAAAACATCTGTGTAACTTGCTCTCCGCATCACGGAGAATTGTCACCTGAAGATTGCTTTCGATCAAAGATTCTTCAATGGCTTTTCTGAGGGGACCGCCGTCGTTTGCCGGCAGCTCCACTCCCGGGAACAGGTCCGACAGAAGTGCCATGAACAGGGGAAGGTCCAAGTACACAAGTTTCGGCTTAATGAGATCCAGCATGGTTCTGTACATTATCGCCTCTTCGTTGTTGTCCGGAAAGGCCCTCTTCAGCGCCCCAGCTGCGCGGGCGATTGGGATGACGAAGGACCTAACCACGGTTTGATATTAACAGCCTGAACCAAATGAACCGATAAACCTGAAGAAACACTGAACACCCTAAGCCCAGAAATGACCATCAAGGCCCTCACGACCTTCAAGACTTCATATTCAGAAATAGAGAGTATTGAACATTGGTGGCATGTTCCACGCTTTCCCAGAGGAACGCCGCTACTGTGTCGCAAGCTTTCTTCCTTGGTCGACGCTCAGTGCCTGCTGGTCTCAGTATCACATTTATGTCTATTGCGTCGGGTCAATGCGGCGGTACGGATGAAAGGCATGTGGCTCAATTGTAGTTTTAGGTGTTCCTTTTGTCTAAGTGGTGACATATCTGCTTGAGTAAGTACTGGGAACGCGTGGTGAATCCGAGTTCTATTAGGATCGACCTAGTGGCCAGACTGCTGTCAGAGAACGCGGTGAGCTAGATTTGACTCAGCGACAACGAAGACCAATGACAATCAAAGTGCGCACATAGTTTATGCTCGAAAACAGGTTACCTACAACTGAACTACGTAAACCGTGCAGCTCATCACGAATCGATCTTGGGAGCATCGGCGCACATTTCATATCTGTCTGATGTGTTATGTGGCGCGTCTGATGCTCGTGATTCATACACTTCTGAAAATCTACATGTAGGGATCGAGTTTATGTAGGCGACGCATGTATGTGCAGCGGCACAAGAGGACAGCTTCAATACCCGACGCCCAACTCACCGTAGTCCATAGTCGTAGTGATCCTGCTTGGATAGCTGCTGCTGAGACAGCTCCATGATGGCGATCATCTTCTTTGCGAGGATCTTGGCCATCGAGAAGCCCTCCGAGAACATCATGATCTCAGCGATCAAGGTGAAGTCAGGCACCATCATGGACACTGGGCGCACAATGGCTTTGAGATTGTCCGGCAGCTCGGACCGCCCCGCATATCCCGGGTTCATGGTGACGAATATTCCGCACGTCGGGATGAGCCGTATTTCCTGCCCAAGGAAGACGAACGTCTTTCTGCTCTCTTTTATGGCCTGGAGACACACGAGCACAGAAATTTGTGGGTGGCCATGGTGGTCAGTACAGTGGCCAGCACTTCCAACACCTTAGCAGCGCTTTGAAGATACGCTCACATGCAAGTCTCGCCCATCCAATGTTAATAAGAGATAACATAGGAGGGAAATTTATTCTCCTTTATGCAGTGTGCAATGCGTGCCATTTGGCAAAGTTTCCTTTCGTTTTGCAGGGGTTGAGAGAAACTGACTACTAGGCAAGTGCGCCCTTGACCGCCGTGAAAGTCCAGGAAAATACTGATGCAAGGAAAAATTCTGTTTCTGCTCGTTGCTAATTTAATGTAGGCATGTTTGCTATTCTAAACTTTACGTATTGCTAAATACACATGTTTCAGTGGCGTTATTACATGTTGGCGGCTTGCCTGGGTGCCATTCAAACGTCATTTAAGGTCAATTGCACTGAACGTGCATGTGATCAAGCTTAAAAGATTGTCGATGTTGAAATGAGTGTAGCAGGATTTTGTGCATGGAGGAACCTTGCTGAGCATGTTTTGAAAAGCTTGGCTGGGAACAACCACCAACTACAATGGACAGAGTGCTCCAGGTAGTCTTTCCAGCTTTGGTCTGGTTGCCCATGCACTTAACAACACCACCTTTATTCATATTTACTCCACAGATGCGATGATTGCCAATGCAACAGTGGTGACACACATAAACCTTTCGCAACGCCATTGCGCTGGGCGGCACCGAGATCGGCGAATATTTGCCAGTTGGCGAATGCACCCACTGCCTCTGTCCTGTCACTGTTCTATCCCTGTCACTGGCATGTGCACTGCTTCAGGTGTCGCGTTCTGTAGCTTGCGCATAGACGCGAACTTCAGCCACAATTCGCAATACTGCAATGTTGCGATATTGCCATACTGCAACATTACAGTGTCTTAACACAAGTCTCGAGTGGATCCATACTTGCATGACAGTTGCGATTTGGGTTGCAACCACGGACAGGACCTCCACTTCGATTCGGTTGAACTCGTCAAGGCAGGCCCACGCCCCGGTCTGCGCGAGGCCGCTGAACATCTTTCCTGTCATCTTGTAGTCAACGCCATCGCTGCAGTTGAACACGATGACATATCGCGCCAGCGCCTTTCCAAAATCCTGCATCGATGAATGAACGAATTATTTAATCAACCAATTCATTAAAATCTTTAAAGGAAACATGAAAAATCCTGCCTCGAAGCGATGCTTTTAATGATCAGATAATGCATAACTAATAGGTATATTTGCTTTCAAACAAAATGGGATAGGTAATGATTCAGTCCCTGGAGCCGACTTTCGGATGGAGAAGACAAAGTTCTGTAGTATTCTGATCGAGGACTCGTTGTTGCTGTGTTGGACAGAGGGCGGTTACGAGTCGTAACTGTGCCACTGGCGGCACCAGTGGCTGGCAAATGACCAGTAAAGAGCACCATGGTGGCTTCCATTCCACGAAGCACGCCTCTTCTCCCCACTGCAGTCGGGATAGCATTAATTCAATTATTATAGGCACGCATGCCTGCCTTGACTGTCTCAGTTTTCCCCGTTCCCGCAGGCCCAAGCGGGTTTCCTCCTCGGCGAGTAAACAGGGCCGCCCCCAGCGTCATGTAACACCTGAGAAAAGTCCACAAACGTTTGTGCTCGCCGAGGCGCCCCGAATACATCCCAGCCAAGTTCATCTTTACCATAGCGCATTCCGACGCAGTTGCAGTCTTACCTATGTAATGGAAACATTTTTGCGAGCAATGTGCCTGTGCAGAATCCTGTATAAATGCAAAGGCCACGCCCCGATCCTGGCCCTTGACATGGCCAGGCGGAGCTTCAGTGAGGATTCAGAACTGCGCTTCAACTACTCATTTGTGCAGGATTCGTTGACGAGGAGGAACCCCAACCGTAAAATGCGTGATTAATTTCCATCATTTTTTGGCTTCAAAGCTTATTGAGTGTCCATATAAATGTCCGCATAATGTCCATTTATCTCCCGACAGCTCTAATGCGCTGGAGCGTCAAATCAGTACCGTTTATCAGCCAGTTGTATCACATTCAACGAGAATGCAACATAAACAACCGTTGCAGCAGAGATACTTTTTGCCGTGCAAATTTGACCAACAAACGCAGATTCCGACGTTTGCAGGAAGCTGGAGGCGAAGGTCAGGAAAAAAGAGAGCGGAGGCATTGAAATTCCAAAGAGATCATTCACCTGTCCGTCAGGGGCGTCATCACCAACCGTCCATTGTTGCCCTGGTACTCGTAACCGTACACGAATACCGACAGCACCTGCTTGACGATGCAGTCGTTCTTATCCTTGTCCCAATAGAACCTCAGCTGGCCGACCCAGTCGAAATCGGCCGTAGAAGAACACCCAACCTTTCCCAGTTTTTCAATGACGTCCCGCGCGTGCACCTCGATTGTAATGAGTGACACCACCTTGTTCCGCTCGATCTTGGACAGGCGGGAGCGCGTGACGGTGGTGAGCTTGCTCAGATAACTCAGCCACTTCTTCTTGAGCTGCCTGAGCGCCTTTTTGGCGGCGTCCGCATCCTGGAGGGCCTTTTCGCATTCCGAGGTCCACAGGATTTGGCCAGCTGTTATGATCAGCTGACCTTGCGTGTCCTTCACCCACTTTTCCTTTTTCATGCCTGGAAATCCGGAAGGCCAAGTATCAGCTGCTGGGCAGAAGTTTCGGTTTTCCGAAGCAGCAGCCGTGCGCCACGAAAAGCGCGAGCACCCAGCAGTCATCGAAAGCATGTACAAAAAGGCGCAAATAGAGAAACAGCCATTTTTACGGCCACATTCACGCATATTTACGGCTCGTCGACACGCCTAGATTACATGATGATGTCCCAAACAATGATGAGTTCTCAGAGCGCTGGCAACGCAGCGCCCTCCTCGCCCTCGGCAAGGAGAACTACGTCGTCGAGCAAAAGGTCTTTTTCTGGATATTTCAGCTCATCTAGCTTCCCCTGCCCGGCCACCTTGAGTCGGTATGTACTGTCTTTAAGTACGCAGCGTTCATTCTTAGCCATTTTTACGCCTATTTTCGCGTAAAAACGTAAAAACCATTTTAGCACGTAAATAGCCGTAAATAGAAACGCGTTTACGCCGTAAAGACCAAGCCTGGCTCTCCGGTTGATCCACAGCTATGCCAGCGGTGGGTTTAACTCGCAACTCTGTTAAATACTCAACCCTTCCGCATCAGACATTTTCACCGTTACGGTTTTTGCTCTGCATTTTGCTTTTCAGAGCGTTGTTTCTATTTGTTTTGCGTTGCCCCGCACAGAAAGGCCAAGATTTGCGTTACTATTTATATTATTCCCTCCTCAAAAAAACACGAGTGTTACGTTATTATGCGGAAGGCTTTAATGTTGTGCAGTATACGGATACTCTCAAATGGTCACCTTCCAGGATCTAAAGGACATGCATTCCGCGACTGTGGCATTGGCGTTGTGCGTACTCTTTGAATCCTCAAGGGCCTTGTAGAGATGTTTCTTTGTCGTCTGGAACATGGCTGCCTCGGCGCTGTTCAGCCACTCCTCCGGCCGACCCTCGGTCAGGATGGGAGCAACGAAGGGAAGGTACTCTCCGTCGGGCGAAAACACACCGGTGCTCTCGTAATTCATGCGTCCGTCAGTTCCAGGCAAATGCATCTCCAGTTTCTTGATGCCTGCATACCAAGAACGCATTCAACACTTACTTCGCAAGAAGATGAAGCGCAACGCACGGGACATGGGCAGCTTTCAGCGGCAAACGTTCTACCAACAGACATTACTGAAGGCGCCACATATGGGTGGGGAATCACAGCAGAATTGTGCTTTCCCCACTGATGCCCACTGCGTGGCTCAACCCTGCACGGCTCGGGAAGACCTCGTGCTTGACAGCATCCTGAAAATCAACCTGCACTTTCCGCTCTTTCTCACGCAGCGAAGTCCCCACACAATCGATTGGTAATTGCTGGCGAAAATATCCCCAGGAGCGTATTGCAAAATTGCACATTACAGTAAACGACCACATTCTGCCCCAACGGGAAGTGCATTGTTGATGTACAGATACAAATTTGCCCAGTGTGTCCTGGTTCACATGCAGGGGGAGATTGCATCAGTGGACTATATGTTCGGAATCAGTTCTGGGTAGGTCTGAGGACCTCCAGACAGGTTTGTACCAGCTTTAAAATCAGTAGAATAGCTGAAAGTGGTAACTTGTTTAATATTTTGGCCAATTTTAGGAACAAGTCATGAGTTGTTTCCAGCTGATCCGTGGCGTTTTTGGATATCTTTCCTCTTATGTCGATTTTGTTGCAATTACGTAAGCTCTTAGCGTCACAGCGCCCCCCCCCCGACTCCCTAGCGTCAATTTGAATCGGCATAGTGTCTTCCCTAGGAAAAATGTATATGTAACTTTACTCCTTGTGGCATAAATTGTGTGGGCCCTGTCCATAAATGTACACAAATGCGTTCCACGGCAACGGCTTTTCCAGAACAAAATTTCGCCAAGTGAAGCTCAGAACCTTCAAAGCACTTCTTCAGGTGCGACTGAACGTTCATGGGGTCCTTCGCCTGGCCCAGGATCTCCAGCAGGTCGTCGCTGGACAGGAAGTAGAAACGCGGGAACTGCTGCCGCTTGCTCTCAAGGTAGTTCTCCAGCGACTTCTGGATCTTCTCCAGTTTGGCGTCCATGTCGCTGAATGTCTCCAGGATGCCCGGCAGGGAGCACGCCGCCGTGACCAGGCTGGCATCCCTCAGTTTCTTCATGGAGGCCATGAATGTCTGGTGGACTTCCTCGAAGAGCAGGGACTCCTGGGGCAGCTGTTTTTGAATGTCCTCGGAGCCGATGAAGATGTTCTCCAGGTACATCCAGTTGCGTTGCACCTGTGCGTGATGGATCATCTTTGTGAATATTGTGGACAATTGGAACTGTTGCTTGGTGAATCTGGATGATCGTGTCCCTTGAGTGGTATCTATGGTTTCGATGGGTGCCAGTTGCGCCATGCAGCAGCCAGCGGATGCTCTCTAAGCAGAACAGAATAAAATCCCAGTCACGGCCCAACGTCGTCTAAGCATCTATCAGCTGCAAATAATTGTGAGAAGGCTCACACAACTGAACTGCGGCCACTTTTGTTTGGAAATCCTTGGCCAGAAACCTGTTGTTAAAATTTCATCCACCATGAGCTTAGAGATGGCGCAATACCTGGAGAACGATTTCGATCATCTCGGACACCAGGGAAAGCAGCTGCTCCCAATGCGTGATGTCTTTCTCGAACACAACGAAAAAGCGTGACGCCTTCATGGTGGACAGCGTAACGGCGTTGTCTTCCAGCGAGGCAAACACGTCCTCTGTGCTACGCAGCTTGCAGGTCTGCTTGTACTCCGCCATGTCCAGGTGAAGTTCCGCCCACACCTCGCTTATGGCCTGGCAACAGCTGATGTGTGCTCATTCACGCAACAACTGGAATATTCGAGGAATTGGGGAAGGTCAGCGACAACATCATTGTCGTTTCATGTATCAAGCAAACAAAATCGAAACTTATGACTTTCCATAATAATTTTGAACGAAGCAATGGTGACCATTCCATCAGCTGGTCACGTTATCCAATAATAATAACATAATAATTGGTTGCACAGATTGCCAAAGATACCCCACAAAAAATCCACTATTGCCCAATAAGGGAAGACGCTACGTCGATTTTGGTACGTTTAGCGTCAGTTTGACGTTAAGCCCAGGAGCCCCCACCCACCCACCCCAACCCATCCCCTGGCGTCAATACTTATGTCGATGCCAGGATGACTCAGCAACCTTACATAACAGCGATGGACAATTTCGAGGCGTTTTCAAGGAGCATAAACAGCCAGAATTGCGGCGATTGTAATGCGCTGAAAAACTGGATGGCACAGGCGAATTCGGGTGACTATGGCAGCTCCGATGGCTGTCCATTGGGGTATTGTGGGGTATTTACTGAAGTTTGAATGCTTGAGAGTGGTTTTGAACAAGTCACGAGCAGTTCGCATTGGATCAATGGCGTTTTGCGCAACTTCCCACATTATGTCGAAATTGTGTCCATTACATGATCTCTTAGCGTCACAGGTCCAGACCCACCACCCCCACCCATTTGGCGTCAAATCAGCGCTAAGCGCACCAATTTCGACATACTGCCTTCCCAAACCGCAAGACATGGACAACTGAACCAGTCCGTGCGCGCCACACGAACAGACAAAAGGTTTTCGGCAACAGTTGGCGATTCACCAAGCGCACCTGAATGGACTGCTCAATGGCCAGCTCCTTCGTCGCATTTGTGGACAGCTCGGAAATGAAGTCCGCGTGCTGGTCCAGCTGCAGCTTCACAATGGAGTCCAGGGTGAAGTCATCCGCGAATGGGTCAAACTTCGACCCCACTGTCTCCATGATCTGCGACCAGTGGCGATCGCGCATGGCCTCGTTCCTCAGGTCGGTGATCAGCGGCATGGTGCGCTTGAAGGCCTCCACCGTGTCCTTCATCCACGCCCACACCGGCCAGCTCTTGATCTCCCGACCGAGCTTGACGATGGTCTTGCCTATCGCGATGGCCGACGCCTCCATGGCTTCCACCTAATGATAGGGCGACAGAATACTTGTTAGCGCTGGTTTTACTGGATGAAGCCCGTTTTTGGAAGCGGGGTGCAGGGCGCAGTACTTTACAGTACTTGCTTGTGCCACTTTGTCCGGAAAGGGTATGGATATACTGTGTGGTATTGCGCCCCTCATAATCGGGAGACAACCATGCACCATACAACAGAATTTAGTTCTGCTGCTAGTTCTATTGGTCTGCGGCAAAGCCAGTAGCGCACAAGAGCAGATAATGCAACCAAAACACAGTGAACGTTGCAGAGCTTGCTTCCATTTCAACAACTTTACAGTACTGGCAATGTTCTACTTCTCACACTTTGTTCTATTACGAAGTATTTGAAGTATAATAATGGCCATCCCACGTCATAATTTAGAAATTCTCAGCACCACAATGCTCTATAGACATCGTCAGGAACTTTGATATCTTGAGAGATCAGAAGTTTAAGATTCTGTTCACTAAACACCGTACTTTGATGCACAATGTTGGACTCATTCTCTGATAGATGCATACGAATTCCCTCCACTGGACGTGAGATCGGGCCTTCCATCACAGTGATACGCCAAATCATATAACTTCGAAGTCGAAATGCGCCGACTGTGACCGTGCCTGAATGTCCTTGAACTTGCCGTCCTTCCATCCGATGTAGGACGTCTGCCATTCTTTGGCCACACCCCATATCTTTTCCAACACCTGGAGGTCCTTCTCAGTGGCTCCCAGGTCTTTGTAGGGCGGCTGTGGAATGCGGAAGATGTCCATGCCGGCCTTGAGGTCGGCTGCCTGCACGAGCAATACGAAAACTGTCGGTACAGCTGGGAAAGAGCCCTGCCCGAATGTTGAAGTTGCCAGCCTGCACGAAATGCTGCACAACCAGCACAACACGGCACAGCCCTCCATGGAGTTTCTGGATTACGGTAAGTTGCTGAATCCTCTGTTGAATGCATTTGTGCCTCGTGAGAAACACGGCTATTGCAACACAGGGCAATGTCGAGCACTTTGGGCTCCGCAACTTTTGCTCGCAGCAACAGCATTCTCCACTTGTGGAGAGCCTGCATGCGCAGTGCCACATGTGCTGGGGCTCAGCCCCAGCATATCAGGGCCTATGCTACATCTTCTGCACCCTCCCGTGTTCAGGCTCTGCTCCGCTTCGCCTCCAGGCGCTGTGCTTTACAGTGTTTTAATTTGAAATTGGTACTGAAGTTAAATCTGAGTGCAACGGGTGTGTACAATCGGAAGTTCGATTTGTGAAATGGGGTTCCCTGGCTGTTACCTTTTTCCTTGCGTCTTTCACTCCGTCTTTGGCGCTCTCGATGAATTGGAAGGCGGTGTCGATGGTGAAGTTATCATTCGTGTATGGCGCAGCTTTGCTAAATTCTTCACGGGCAGTCGAAACGTCTTTCGCAAAAGCGTCGACCATGTGCTTCACTTTCTCCCTATCGTGCACCACGTTGCGGCTTAGACAATGTGTTCAATACCCTTATGCTACATGTAACGTATTGTTTCTCTACGCAGTGTCAAAGCGACGCCCCCATTTGTGTGCTGAATAGCAGCATTTGTCTGGTGTTTGGGCCAAGTTTAAATAGTGAGTAGGCATTAGAGAGATCAAATCTGAACTTGATTGAAGTTTTAAAATCAAGTAGCCAGCCAACGGCATTACAGCTCGTTCAAGTGCATGAAAGAACACAATGAAATCTGTGCCCAGAGTGGTAGTAGCGTTATTATTTGTATGATCACGTGTTATAGCATTGCAAGGGGCGACACTAGGGCGATGTTCCTACGCTTACTGCTAACGGGTAAACCCAGGATACATCCCAAATATGCTTGGTGACCCACGGCAACAAATGGTACTAGCACAACTGAAACAAACGCTCTGGCCACTGCTCTGCAAATCCTACCAGTTGGTAATGGAAATCACATGATGTGAGGGTCCTTATATACGTGGATGCACGCTTGGTTTTTGCGACGTAAAAACTGATCGTATTTACGGTTTTACGCATAAATATAGATTTTACGCTTTTACGCATAAAAATGCCTAAAAATACATAAATGCAACGTAAAAACTGCCCAGTGTACATAAGGACAGCACATACAGACTAGGGAGTCTGGAGAGTGGCAGCCAGACGCCCTGGAAGGGACAGAAAACGAGTTTTGGTTAAACGCCCTCATCGCCCTTGCCAAGGGCGAGGTGGACATTGTGTTGCGGGTGCTGGAGATGGCGGAGGACTGATCATTGTACGTAACTTTCATCGTGTAGCCTGGGTGTCCTAGGAAGCTGCAAAAACGTAAAAATGCGCACAAAAATAAGCCCTTTGCAATTTACGTTTTTAAGCATAAAAACGTAAAAGTAAAAAAGTAAACGTAAAGCCCAAGCCTGCGTGGATGTCAGCTCCGAATTGAAAGCTCGGGCGAATTTTTCGGACATATCCGAAGTGGTTTGGAATTCTTTACGACGCATGACGCTGTGGAGAAAATCGTGCATTGCCTTGGCCACAGGCCAAGGCCACGGACTCCTCTCCACTTGCGTCTATTCGATGTTGACCATGACAAAATCGGCTTGTTGTTCGCCCCCAGGCTGAAACCATAAGCTCGTCAACGATCTGGCTTTGTCGTTTCTTGATTTCGTCGCGCACAAATTAGGAATTAGTAGCTACTGTGGCATATTCAACCCTTCCGCAGAAAATATTTATACTGATATGCATTCGCTCCGCATTTGTTTTCAGAGCGTTATTTTTATTATTTTTACGTGACTCCGCCCAAATTTTTTTTCAAAAGAGCGCTATTTTTTTACTGTTTTCTCTGGAAAAAAGGCCAAGCGTTACGTTACTATGCGGGAGGGTTAAAAACCCAACAGCAGTTTGCGGCTTTCGGCAAAAGACCCCACTGCACGGACAGATGCGGGCGCCCCTTCCCCGACAGCCCAGTCAGCACCCTCAGCGCCAGCAACACCCCTCCCCTGCTGGCGCCAAAACTCCGGATGCACCCCTCCAGCCCCGCCCCAGCGCCCGCACGCCTCCCAGGGTCCAAACCCCTGCGAGCAACGCTCCAGAGCCCGCCTCCCCCACAGTCTCCCTCCCACCCTCCCCCACCCCCCACCCTCCCCCCCAAGCCCCAAATGGGGTCCCAAACCCCAAAACCTGGCCCGGGCCCAAAACGCATGTCGCCATCCGCCACAATCCTCCCCAGCCGCATAATGGGGCCCCAGCCCGATGCCCAAACCCCAGGCCGTCCCCAATTCCGCCCCTGCTCCGGTCTCATTCCCGCCCCAGCCCGGGTCCCCGCACCTGAAGTTCTCCTTGGACTTCTCCAGCGTGGCGGACGCCTCGTCCAGCATGCCCTGGAACCGCGCCCATGCTGGCTCGATCTCCTCCAGCAGCGCCAGCCGGTCGTCCGGCACGCTCACCTCGAACCGCTCCAGCGCGCGGTACCTCTCCCTCAACGGCTCGAATCTCGCCGTCACGCTGTGCTTCTCCTCGACCAATCGCCGCTGAAGATTAACTCCCTCGGCCAATTGATCCAGATTAGTGGGGCTGCGAGCCAGGGCCTCGGTGCTGGATCGGAAGTAGTCGTGGATGGCGTTGAGCTCGGTGTCGGCCAGGGAATGGAGGAGGCCGGTGAATCGGGATGTCCAGGCCTCGCAGTGGCCCACCAGGGCCTGCTTGAGGGGGCCGCAGTCGATGCGCAGGAAGCGCATGTTGGTGGTGGCGTCCTCCGCCAGGACCTCCTCCTGGGGAACGGAAGTGCCGTGTGGGTGGCGGGAAGCGGGGCATGCAGTGCAATTGCCCCTGCCCCCCCGCAGGGGGATCAGCGGGGCAGGGGCCATGGCCATGGTGAGAACATGGGTGCAGATACTGTGATTCGAAAGACTGCTCCTTGCAGCCGAAAATTGCCTTTCTGCTGCCAAGTGCTTCTCGAGTGCTTTTCAAAGCTACATGTGTTCTTGCCCAGCCAATCTTTACCAGCCAGCACGCAAAGTGCTATTCGCAGACAAAAAGGCTCTGGCTCTGTAAAGAGCATGAGAACAGTTGAGGGCCTGCTGCTGGCCTTCTGTCTTGTCATGAATCCCGACTTTTGCTTTGTTTAGTGCCATGGGGGCACCTATGATGCAAAGGATTGAACTTCGGTGGCTTTGCTGATCGCAATTGGACATCATGTCTGCAGGCTTCTGCCTGGTATTGCCTTGAGGCTGATGGGACCGTGTTCTGTTGCTGTTTGATAGATGTCAACGGCGGTTCTGTGCAGAGCTGCTCTCCTCAGCTTGTTAGAACCCCATAGCAAGTGAATTTCGTTATCCCAACAGTGTTGATCTCCCTTCCAGAAATGCAGCGATATGGCATCCAGCACAGCATGTTCCCAATCATGCGAGATAGCTGAATCAAAATCAGAATCAAGTCACCTGATGGATTCAGCCAGTTCTTGTCCTCATTGCCACCGGTTGGCAAAGTGCAGAACACATCAGTACTACATGTGATTTGCTTGTGGGGTGAACCTGCCTGCCAACAGCTGAATATTGCAACATCTGGAAATGTGGTCAGTCAATGATGAGAATGGGCAAAATGAGTCCCACCCTTACCTGAAGGTCAAGGTACTTTGTGATGTCCGAAATGAAAGACGTCAGGGGCTTTTGTGCCTTCTCGTATCGCCGGATGTAGGCGTCTTTGTCCTGGTCCCAGAGGTGCTTGTACTTTCTCTCCCAGTAGTTTAGGAACTGCTGTACTTTATCCACTATGGAAGTGATCCCTGTTGTGATTTGGACGATGGTCTTCAAGGTCGTGTCCTCGTCGTTAGAAATGACTTCATAGAAAGAAGGCAAGGGTTTTGGCAATCCTTGGCCTTGTTCCTGTGAAACACAGCACACAATCACACCTTTGGACCTTGCAATGACCACTTGGCGTTCGTGCTGGGGCGATGGAAGATGTGGCTGCATGCAACCAGTGAAAATGATCCGAACTTGTGAACTGACGCAGAAAGAATGGCCCACTTTCAACCGATACAGAAGTGCGCATGGTCTTCCAATGATTCTGTCAAGGTTTGCTGAAATTGGTGCAGAGCAAAACTTTCCCATTTGCTGATTGCACTGATGCTCTAGAGTGCATAGTAATCGAGCACCATGAAGCACTTCTAAGCCTTGAGCACACCCCTGAATCCTGATACTGCTGCCAGGAAACATATGAGAGAACATTTGCAGTGCTCCATATTGTCCAATACAGGCTTCAATGTGAAGCAGCAACAATGAATATTGTTGGAACATCTTTTTCGTCAAATTTGTCCCTCACATGTGCATCCTGGCTAAGAACCTGTCGAATGGACACAGTGGTTTCAGCAGCGAGCACCTGGAATTCTGCTTGCTGCCTTGGGGACAGCTGAACAGCAAGGCGGGGGACGCAGGAGATGGCCGTGATCAGCTCTCGTGACACATTGTGGATCATATCAAACAGCGCTTGTATCGTCGGCCGGAGCTCCACCCGGTTGCTCTTCTCCAAGACCATCATGACATGGAAAATAGGCACCACCTGCTCAAGATGGTGGGACTGCCTTTCAAAGAAAGGGAAAGAATCCTGTTGTACAATCTGCATCACCATCTTCTATGCAAGTACTTAGACTGACTCTTATCCGTACTGTGGAAGACTACCTTGTCCAGCACGAACACTGCTCAAGATTGCGCCACTTTTGGAGACTGCAGACAAGCCAGCATTGACTGTACTGCTGGGCTCTCACAATGCCACAGTGTCCGCTAATGCATCACCTCACAGGCAAGCACTTGGGATCGTTCCTGGGGTGTAATTTGTGAGCTTGAGCATGCATGATTGTGTACTGGGAAATCTTTCATGGACTGTATGTGCACAAAAGCGCAAGTGACAGGCTGCCAAATCTTTGCAGGTGTCTCAGCCATTGCAGAATGGGCTGCGATGTAGTGGAAAATCAACAAAGCATGCAAAGTGCCTGAAGCACAATTGTTTATCTGAATCTGATGCCATGCGTAAGCAACAATGCAAGCAACTAAATTGATGTGGAGGTGCCTACTGAGTCCAGACTTTATCAAGTGATCAATCTAGCCATCCCATGAATGAGGCACTGGCAAACAAAATGCAATAAATACAACGCCTTCAATGTGGTGCAGCACTCACTGCCTCACCTCTGTCTTGTTGTCTCCATTCAGAACTCTAGACAGTTCCTGCAGCGACTTTTTGACAGTGTGCCTCAGTGCGTTCTCCATCTTCTTGTCGATCATTTTGGTGAAGCGCACCCACTCCCTCTGCACCTCTTCCGTGTCGCTCTCAAAGAATTTGTACGTTGCTGCCATCGTGTTCTTTATTTCAGCGTATGAGTGCTCAAAGAACTTCTTCACTTGGGCATGGTGCAAAGATTGACGTTCCTCAAACTCGGCCAGTGAGTACACTTTCTTTTTCTCAACGCTGATCAACAAGTTCTCAGCTACAAGCTGGCACTGTGTTTCGATTTTGTGATTAGCCGCCTGCACAAACAACAGGGGTTGTTCAACGTGTTAGGGGACTCACTGCCATCGTGCAATATGCCATTGTCAAAGAGGAGCATTGATGAAGAATTTAGATATCAAGGTTTAGCTCTGGGAACATTTTTTTTTCATCAGATGCAAACAGTGATACACATGAACAACAGGGGGGCAATTCAATAGCATTGCTGACACTGGTCGGCAAACCCACTATTTTGGACCCTGTTTTGTCCAATTTGGGACACGGAATCAAACAGACTCAACACTATGCTGTTCGTCAGATGTTGCTGGCAGATACCTGCACTGCAACTGACTGGCTGACGATGTCACAGAGGTGCACCAAACGAATGAATGGCTGGGGCCTTTGCTCTGTTCACTGCTCAAGATGTCAGTGTGAGGTACCTTGAAAGCAGTGACGATGACATCCACGTCCTTGCAGAACTTTCTGGCCTCCTTGTAGTAGTACTCAAGGCTGTGCTTGTCAGACGTCCATGTGAGTTTGGTGATGCCTGGGACGATGCGGCGGTCTAGGTACCTGATGCGATCATGGAACAGCTTCTTTTCCTCTTTGTCCAGAGCCATCAGGATCTGCATCGCAGTTTACAAAAGGTCTGTCTCTCCCCCTGAGCCCTGGGGTTGCAAAGTGTTCCAATTTCAGGGTGGTTACACGGCTACTAAAGTTTGGTAGCCAGACGTGCCTACTTTGCAAATGGTTCCGCTTGATGCTTTGATGGGTCAATGCAGTGTTGTTTTGACTGTAGGTTGACTTTATTTTGCCAAACACGCAGCTTACCACGCTGATGGCAGCTGTTGACACATGGGATTCTTCTGAAAGCCAACAGTCAAGCCATTGCCTGGCACACATACGGCCATGCCATGCACTCTTGCACATCGCTTGCTTCCACTGGCATCAAATTAGTGCTGTTGCCTTCTTGCTGAAGTCGCACCCTTCCAACTGGGATTGTATCCGAAACCCTACACCCATGGCGGTAGGTCTCACAGTTTTAGCAAGAAGACTGCAGCACAAATATGGAGTTGTTTCTGCCCTGTGCATGATCAACTGCACAGTGTGATAGCCTCAAACATCCCTCCTCCACAACTGAACCTCACCTTGTTGTAGTCACGGACGACCATGAGCACATTCTCCCTGAGCACTCGGTACTTCTCCTTCTGTGCCTGGATCTCCATTGCGATGTAGGGGATGCCCCTCCTCATTCGCTCCCAGTGATGGACCTCAAGAGACATGGAGAGCAGGTCCTTGTGGAAATTCATGGAGAGCAGGCCTCCTCCTGCTTTGTCCTGCAGATAGAGCATCCCCATCTCAGGCGCAGTCACAACCCCATTGATGGAACTGAGCAAATGATCTGGCATCCACGCAGTTTTGGTGGGATGTCAACTTTTCGATTTGAAGATCTTTGCTTGCAGTGTCACAGTTCCTCTACACTGTCAAAGCTTGAACTCTCATGCGATTGTCTTGAAGTCAGCCGTCCACACACAAAAGCACTGGACCAATCTCCCAGTGCCTGGGGCTTTAATGAGTGAACTGCACTGGCAGCAATTTTGGCTAAAGCTGTGTTGTTTCCATTTCAAAAGAATTGACAGACAAGGAAGTGCAGCTTGCTAGTTGGATGTGGCAATGCACGTTACAAAGCACCCTGTTAACCTGTTCTCGAGGTTAGATTCTATACGAGCAGGTGTAAACCAGTCACAGACTGTACTGTGGTCCAGTGAGGATGCAGAACATGCCTTGTTGGTTTTCTTTAGCTTTGCAGGTTCGCCACTGTCAGCCGATCTGTCAATCACTCCGTTGAGCACGGACCTGTGTCAGGAGTGTATTGCTGAGCTCCTTCGAAATGCTGCTCTCTATGCTATTGAACCACTCCTCATGCATGTGTGTGATGAACTGCTCGATCGATGTGTGGGCAAGCTCGTACGCTTGTATCGTTTCTTTGGCATCCAGCACCTGCAAAGTCCATGTTCCGATCACCTCGATGTCAGATGAAATCGAAGACTTTAGGGAAATCTCAGCGAAGTACTCTCACTGGCTGACTGTCAGTGTGTTCAAGGTGCAGGGGGCAGTAATTCTCCACTTTTGGACAAATTTTACAAACTGATGGACAACTCGATGATCCAACCAAATGCTGTCTAAAACTGCTGTTGAGGTAATCCGTGAAACCCACAAATGATGGCATACGTTTGGCAGAAGGAGCTCTCGACTTCGCATTTGATGCAGCGACTCGTAGTCTACGCAGCTGCAGTGGGCAGATGGATGATGGGGTCCTTTTTGGTATACAAATTTGCAAACATTGAAACCTTGGTAGGCGGTTCGCCAATGGGTGGATACGAAATGACTTCAGCTGGGATAGCTGTACGCACTTGGGGGAGCATGTGCCTCACAGCAGAGAGGGCATTCCAAGTTTGCTCCAGGCGGCGCATCAAGTTGAGGGCCCATCTGTAGTCCACAGACGAAGAGGTAAAGTGACTAACTCGTTTCTGGCCGGCGAAGCTACAGAGTGCCTCCGCAGGAAAAAGCAGGTCAGCGCTGGGCGCGAACGCGGCCAACGAGTAAATTGAACAGTCGTCGCAGTCAGGAGGCTGCCAATGGTGCAGTCCTGTGCACGCACTGCTCGTCCCTTCAGTCTTTGGCGAGCAACAGGATACGCTCGCATTCCGGAAGTACTGTCCATCTGGGAAGGCTGGCGGGGGCGTCACTTGGCGCAATGCGCGCAAACTGCCCCGGGTTCGCGTGCACGTCCTTATGGCGTGGGGGCATCGAACCTAGTCGAGCCAGTTTGGCGTTCCAGGCAACATCAGCCGCTACCAGTCAGCTGACGCAATGATGACATCGAACACGGGCGAGATGTAGCTGCAGCGAGCTCCGTTTAAACTCCCAGAGGGAGCAGCAGGATTGCACTACGGTCAGACCAAAGCGGAAAGAGTTGCAGCGAAACTCACGTGGCGCGGAACACTCACATGGCGGGCCCTGCGTATTGTGGTAGAAACGGCGTCTTGGGCGGAGACCTCCTGATGACGTCGAACTGCTTTTTCACCACGTTGATCTCCCCCATGAAGATTGAATAGAACTCCGACGTCTTCTTCTCGACGCAGCGCCTTATGGAGTCCCTTTTCGCCATGGATTGGAAGGCCTCCAGGAGCTCGATGCGGTAGGGGAGGGAGGACACCGCCTCCAGGGCGAATTGGATGAGATTGGTGAGCATGACCTCGAGGTCCTTGGCGCCCGTCTTGAAGGTGTTGAAGTCGTCGTGCCAGCGGGTGGCCTTGACGTCCAGGATATCGTATGTCAGGCCTTGGAGCCCAACCACCAGGCCCTTGAAGGACACCTGGGACGTGGGCAAATTTGTGAAGTTAATAATAGTAAAATAAAGTTGAGGTGGATTGAAATCAACCTGGAAGGTTATTGCGCTCGAAGACTCCTGTATTTCACACTTCAAGGGCAACGGTGGTACAAGAGAACAATGGAAGTCCTAGCTTTATGCCACATATTCCGCAACAGTGCAGTAATTGTACTGGTAAACTGTGGGCCTTGTGGCTAGGTCAGCATTCCTCATTCTGAACCATTGCGATAAATTGGCCCAAACTCTGATATCTGATCAGACCTCATGAGCTCTCCAGCGAAGTGATCAGCGGTCGGTCAAGAATGCCCGTGGCACAGCGTTTAATCCACAACCGGGGCAAGATTCGGTGGTGGTGCTTCCTTTCAGCAGCGCACCTGAATGTCCAGAATGTTCTTCTCAATTTCCGGGCCCCTCAGGCCCCCGAAGACGGGAAGCTCCTCCTTTGGCGCAAATTGCAGCTGCGCCTCGCATACCTCCAGCAGGTCGCGGCACCTCTGCAGAAATGCGTCGATGTGGGCGAAGACGGAAGAGACGTCGAAATCCCACGGACGGGCAGACCTGGCGCTGACGCAGCTGGCGATTCGGTTGTACACCTGCAAAGTCATGGGACACCATGTCAATGTTGAAGCCCCCTGTTTAGATCCGAAAGCGTGAAATATTCCATTTTTGGCATGGAACTGTTGCTGGCAATAAGCGACATGATTTGTGGACACATCCACGTAAATTCAACCCCCAGCAGAACGACAGCGGATTTTGGTATGGAATCCTTTCGCCCAAAATTTGCCCTCCCTTAGGCAAAGATCATGTATGGGTCACATTTTTTGCAGTCAAAGCATTGTCCAAACTTAGAATGTAACATGGTTATTCTGTGCAGTATGCATAATCGCGCACGTCCAGCAAGAAGATCGAGGTCTTCATTCGGCATCATGTCCCGTTGTTGCGTCTCGCGGCACCAGACCCGCACAGGGCATCGAAGTCTCCGATTCGGAGGGCCTGCGACATCCCCCACCTGTTTCCATTTCTCTCCCGCCTCGATGCTCTGATTGAGAACTTTCATCACCGCGTCGACCTCCCCCGTGAAGATGTCCTGCAGGTTGATGACGGCGCAGCACCGGTTGATGATCTCGTTGGACAGCTTGCCCAGCAGGCCCGTGATGCGCTCGGGCGTGTTGTAGAACCGGCTGAAGTTCCAGATGAGGCGCATGGAGTTCAAAATCCTGGGCAGGAGATCCGGTATCTCCTCCGGCGCCGCGCTGGACAGCGCCTTGCAGGGCTCCTCCAAGCATAGCAAGAAGTTCAGGTTGTCCTCCGCCGCTATGGCCTCCCTCTGAATGAGGTTCCTGAGGCTCAGGAACGGCGGCAGATACGAGGACTTCGCCTGCTCCAGCACTTGCACGATTCTGGATACGCTGGGATCGTCCAGCTGCTCGCGTATGCCTCCCAGGTCGATGCTGCGGGCCCGCCAGAACTCGATCTCGTCCAGGGGCCCAGCGTGCTGGTTGCCCACCTCCAGGCCGTCATACTGGTTCACGACCTCCTTGATCTGGCGCGTCCAGTGTATGGTGGTGGACTCCAGCCTCTGGACCACGTCCTTGTCCCTGGCCACCACCGCCGGGTCGCCCAGGTCCTCGTTGGGTATGTACAGCACCGTCTTGCCCTTGGCGTCGTACACGGCCTCCGTGAGCCCGGCCATGAATTTGTGCATGTGGCCCGTGAACTCCCTCTTGACGGCCTCCGGCCAGGTGCTGTTGGACAGGAAGGCGGGAACGTAGAGTTCCTGCATGAGGCGCAGGAGTCCCTCCAGGGCCTGCTCCGTGGAGACATCGCCGGGGCGCAGCAGCTGCGACAGGTCTTCGGTCTGCAGAGCAGTGCCAATTATGAGTGTGCAGGGTTCACCCCATGATACATGTGAATGTGCCTTGATGAAAGCGGCCCAAGGATATCCTTTTAGATTGCGTATGATGTTGCTTATGTGATGTCATATCTAACCAAGTGAACCGTTTTTCCAACGGAGGTCAATTGTACCCTGTCTGTTCAACCAAGCAACCCTATGTTTTGCACTCGACATCTGTGAGATGTGGGGCTGTTCAATCCCAGAAGGCTGGAAAATCTTGTAGAGCCTTGAATTTCCAAGATTTGCTGAATTTTGAACCGATGTCTCATATGATTATTTTCAATGCACTGTCCAGTACTGATGTATACAGGCCCAAAGTGCTTGTTAACAGACAACAAGTGGTCGATATCATCTTTGAACCAAGCACAACCGCTTTGATGGGGATCTGCGCATAGGAGCAACACTACTCACGATACATATGGAGCTTTTGTGTAAATGTTCTTCTCACCGCACTTCGAGGGGTGGAATTTGTGTCCGTTGACTGCCACATGAACTGTGTATCCCAAAGAGCATTCAGATCCAAACATCACCTATCGGCTGAATCTGCAAAGTTAGTCCATTTTGGGCGCTTGGATTCGGTGCCTTTAGCCTTACTTCTGAGCCAGCCAAACTTCGTATTCTCTCCGACGAGATCAACTAACACAAACCCGTGTAACAGCAGCAAAGGCGCCGTCAGTCACAAGGGCGAAAGGACGCTACTACACGAAATTCACCCTCAGAAGGCAGCACCTCGTGCGAGCGAGGCACCCCAGCGCTAAAACAAGACCCGTCAAATAACTCAAGGGGGTCGCTGGTGACGGCACCCGCACCTACATTGACAGAGCCCTTGTTTGGGACGGGCAGCCCCGCCAGCTCGAGCAGCTGCACGGCGTCCATAGCGGCTGCTGCGCGCCTGCGGTCCAGACTTTTGACCCCGCCTTGACTTCCGAAGTGGCTTCAGTCATGTGAGCATCCTCCGGGGCGCCTCCCTTCGGGATTGCTGCCGCGAGTGCTGGCGTCGCACACGACTGGTGCACACCGGCGTCCCGGGGGCTGCAGCTCGCTGGAGGCCGCGGGGTGCCAGAAACTTGCTGACGAACCGTACCTATCGGGCTTCAATGAGATCTGCGCTGTACAAGGGAGCGGATCACGTGCCTTGTGAGATGGCGCGATGTACTGGCAGCTCGCAGATGTGCGCTTCCCTGTATAAATGGGCATTCGTGGGCGTCGTCTGAGCATACCCCTTAGCATAGCGCGAGGGATCGCGCCCAAATAGTAGAGCAAAGCAAGCAGCACGTCATGGTGGCTCCGAGGAAGGACGGGATAATTGTGGGGATTTTAGAACACTCAGGATCAAGTTCATCTGGGCAGCTAGGCAGGGGCAGTCAATCGCTGGAGTAACTGGAGGATAAACACTATTATTCACAAGAAGAACGTAGTGGATGCCATTCAATGGCAACGGGCATCGAAGTCTGCCAGCTAAGCTCGCGCAATGGGGAGCCCCGGAGTGCATAGCTTTCGGGAAAATGAATGTAGATAGGAACATACTAAGAAAACACGAAGCCTTATACAGATATTCACCAAAATATCCATGCCAACGCGGGAGGTCACGGACACAGGCACCGAATGTGTTCTGCAGGTCAAGCGTCAGATCGCAAGACATCGCGTCAGCGCCGCTGACTCAGGGGTGGCGACCCAGCGTCAAATAGAGCAGTCAGCTTCTGCATCCAGTAAGAAAAATTTTAACTGTTGTGGGCATATGCGCATGTCAATAATGCCACACACAATAAAAATTAAGGAGCTCTCGAATTACAATTCCCAATGTGCCGCTTCATAGCAGCAATTCGAACATCTTCAATCGCTTGTCATCGATTATGGCGGCGATGGTGCTATCATTGCCTGTTGACATGGGCAGCGTGCTTCCTTGTTGCAAAGCCACAGCTCCCGACAGGCGTCCCGCTCACCAAAATACATCCCGCTCATCCTAAACTGCACCTGTTACAGGCCAACCCCAAATCCCCAATGTCACCGTGACCCCACAGATCCATGCTTCATTTACAAGCTCTCACGGCCATGAGCATGTTCAGTTCAAACCACTGTTAGCCAGCTGAGTAGCGTGCTCCCCTGCATGTGGGTTATTTATTTTGAAGTTCTTGTCATCCGCTGGGCAATCCGCCACGGTGCCCCGTTCGAGTCCAGCGCCCTGAATTCGCATTGAGATCTCAAAAAAGGAAAACCCGGTCACATAATGGGTAGAGCACCTCAGGGAAAACATACTACAGGTCATCGAATCCACCAGATCCCGAGCTTCCCTTTTCAAGCTAACCACAACGGGTCAGCACGAAAGTGCGACTATGAAGCGTCGGAAAGTCCTCATCGAGTCCTCGGCCACGCATGGGAGTGTACCCCAGCCTCTGCAGTCCTTCAAGAGGGAATTTAATCGTTGTTGCCACTCGCATTTTGTGCAGCTCTGCCTGCTCTGTCAAGCACCACTCCTCATCTTGATGGCTGTTCAGCGTCACCCAAATCTGACCTGGCCTGGACAGCCGCTTTCGGCCGCACGACATCAATCCCCCAAGAAGCTCCCGGTTCATTTTCTGCAAATTCTGTGTGTGCGAGAGGTGACTCGGAAAGTTGAATATTATCCTGTCGAATTTTTCATGCTTCCTCATCCTCCTCATGTTTGTTGCATTGACTCTGTACAGGATCTCGCATTCTCCTTTCATTAGGTTGATCAAGTTCTCTGGCGCCCGCCCGTAGGTGGCCACCAAAGACATCTTTTCCGCCGTGGTGGCGACAAAATGGATTCTGCGCTCCGACTTTGCACCATTTGTGGCTGTTTCCAGGTAGTTGGACACGTAGTAGCTGACCAGGGCCGAAGCAAAAGAAAAGTCTCCTTCACCGAGAAGAAGCACATTGCGCACACCGCCAGCGCGCGGCACAAGGAGGCGGCCGAAGTAGGCGTTCACTTCGCGATCCGGATAGTCGCCGTCCCCGGCCCTCGGCATATCGTAGCCATTGGGAGTCTCGCATTTTTTGACAGCGCAGGTAGCCTTGGCGGCTTTGGAAGCCTTGGTGGATTCAGAAACCCTGGCATTGCGTATACGCTTGGCCAGGCCATTGGACTTGGTCTGTTCACTGAAGCCCTTCTTGGTGCTATATTGGGTTCCAGGGGCAGACTGCCTCACACCACGAGACGCGGTTGTGCGTGCAGTACTGGCCGACTTGCTGGCAGCAGATTTGGACTGCCCCTTTTTGCAGATGACTAGTCTGGGCTCGACAAGTCGACGCAGTCCTTTCTGGAAATGCCACAAAATGGACTGTCAAATATTGAATTCCTATCTTCAACCAGCAGACAATGCTGGCAATAACAATGAAGGCACATTTCTGGAACGCTTTGAGCTTGATGCATTGTTTGGTTCATAAAACTTCAAAGCATTGATCCTCCAACCTATCCGCAGGAATAAAATTGCTTTTCCGGAAAAGGCTGTGAAGCCACAGTTAAACCATCATGCATTTGAACATCAATAAATTGCAACACTCATTATGCAGCATTGATGGGCTATGATGAAGGTAGGTCATTGCAGTGTACAGTGGTGCAGCAGCGCTCATGCATCAGTGCTGGTAAGCATTATTGTAAAGGCCTGAAGATTGCAGCAGGGGCTTCGCTGTCTTCAACGGCAATCGCAGTCAAATTACAATGTACTGTAAGTGTTGCGT